GTTTTGGCGAAAAGTTCATAAGTTCTGGTTCATTGGTAGACAATTTGTACATTTTAGAACCAAAGTCATCTCCACTGCAACATAAACAATTACTTAATTCATCTTCTAATCTGAATAAGAGAAAAGAACCTTCAAATATGAATGAAACATATCTTTGGCATCTAAGGCTTGGTCATATAAACCTTAGGAGGATTCAAAGGTTGGTAGCAGACGGGCCCTTGGGGTCGTTAGAAGTCAAGGCTTTTCCAACTTGTGAATCTTGCCTGGAAGGCAAAATGACTATGAGGGTTTTTTCATCAAAGGGGAATAGAGCCGAAGATTTGTTAGGGCTAATTCATTCCGATCTATGTGGTCCTATGTCTATTCAAGCGAGAGGAGGTTTCGAGTACTTCGTTACGTTTATCGATGATTACTCGAGATATGGGTATATTTTCCTATTGCACCGCAAGTCTGAATGCTTTGAGAAATTCTTAGAGTATAAGGCGGTTGTGGAGAAGCAGTTAGGAAAAAGTATCAAGTCATTACGATCTGATCGTGATGGCGAATATCTCTCAAATGAATTTAGAGACTATTTGACGGATAATGGGATTATTTCCCAACTGACTGCGCCAGGCACACCCCAGCAGAATGGTGTGGCAGAACAAAGGAATAGGAAATGCTTAGAGCGATGATGAGTTATAGTATGTTACCCGATTCGTTTTGGGGATATGCCCTAGAAACAGCAGTTTATGTTTTGAACAGAGTACCTTCTTAATCAGTACCATCTACACCATGGGAGTTGTGGAATAGGCGAAAGCCTAGTCTAAGACATCTCAGGATTTGGGGTAGTCCAGCACATGTGCTGAGAACTGATACTGATAAGTTGGAACCAAGAACAGAAGTAAGGCTGTTTGTGGGATATCCTAAGAAAACGAAGGGTGGTCTATTCTATAGTCCCAAGGACCAGAAAGTAATCGTTAGCACGAATGCAAGGTTCTTAGAAGAAGACTATGTGTTAGATCACAAGCCCAGTAGTAGACATGTCCTAGAGGAAATAAAGGGAGTGAGTACTTCAATACCGAGTGCGCTAGATGTTACACCACAAAATACTGCAACACGTATCACTGATGATGCACCTGAGCAAGTAGTACCTCGTCGTAGTGGGAGGGTTGTCCGGCAGCCCAAACGATTGATGGGTCTGGGAGAGTCTTTTGAGGCCGTCCCGGACGTTCTTGAGATCGACCCATGGACATACAATGAGGCACTCCAAGATCGGGACGCAGAGTCTTGGCAAAAGGGGATGAAGTCTGAGATGGATTCTATGGATTCCAATCAGGTCTGGGATCTTGTAGAACCACCCAGTGGCGTACATGCCATTGGATGCAAGTGGGTCTATAAGAGAAAGAGAGGAGCAGATGGGAAGGTAGAAACTTTCAAAGCTAGGCTTGTTGCGAAAGGGTATACTCAGAAAGAGGGAATCGATTATGAGGAGACTTTTTCGCCGGTAGCTATGCTGAAATCCATCAGGATTCTCTTGGCTGTGGCCGCTCATATGGATTATGAGATTTGGCAAATGGATGTTAAGACTGCTTTCCTTAACGGGAATTTAGACGAGGACATCTATATGCAGCAACCAGAAGGGTTCATTGCAAAGGGACAAGAGCGTCTGGTCTGTAAGCTGAAAAGGTCTATTTATGGACTAAAGAAGGCTTCGAGATCTTGGAACATCCGTTTTGACGAGGTTGTTCAATCGTATGGATTTACCCAATGTCCGGATGAGCACTGTGTGTACAAGAAAAGTGAAGGAAACGTGGTGGTGTTTCTAGTGCTATACGTAGATGATATTCTTCTCATTGGAAACAATGTGTGTTATCAAACGTAAAGGTATGGTTATCCAAGCAGTTTGATATGAAAGATTTGGGAGAAGTAGGACATGTTCTCGGTATCAAGGTCATTCGGGACCGAGATAGGAGAAAGTTGTGCCTATCCCAATCTACATACATAGATACTGTCCTGAAGTGTTTCAACATGCATGATTCAAAGAAAGGGGATTTACCTTTCAGACATGGAATCGCTCTATCTAAGAAGATGTCCTCGAGGACTCCTCAAGAGATAGAGGACATGAAGGCAGTTCCTTATGCTTCTGCAGTAGGAAGTCTCATGTATGCGATGTTGTGCACGCGCCCTGATATTTGCTATGCAGTAGGCATGGTGGCGAGATATCAGAGTAACCCAGGGCCGGAACATTGGTCTGCGGTAAAGCATATACTCAAGTACCTAAGAAGGACTAAGGAGTACATGTTGATTTACTAGGCAGATGAATTGCTTCCGTTGGGATACACCGATTCTGACTTCCAGGCAGACATGGACGAAAGCAAGTCAACCTCAGGGTTTGTGTTTACTTTAGGAGGAGGAGCCGTTGTATGGAGGAGTGTCAAGCAGACATGCGTGGCAGACTCAACCATGGAGGCTGAGTATGTAGCAGCCTCAGAGGCAGCGAAAGAAGCTGTCTGGCTCAGGAATTTTCTCCTCGACCTTGACGTGGTGCCGAGTTTGCCCGCTGCAATTACAATATTCTGTGATAACAGTGGGGCAGTAGCAAATTCGAAGGAGCCACGGACTCATAAAGCGAGTAAACACATAGAGCGCAAGTACCACCTGATACGAGAGATCGTTGGACGAGGCGAAGTCGTTGTTGCCAAGATACAATCAGAGGACAACCTAGCAGATCCTTTTACGAAGAGCCTACCGACGAAAGTCTTTTCAAGACACGTAGAAGGAATGGGAGTCATATGTTAGAGCAACATATTAGACTAGTCTTTGAGAATTAGATTAAAAGAGAATTGCGGTTAGGGATAGCCATGAGCTTATTAAGCATAAGTGGCAGATTGTTAGATATGCTGTAAAAGCTTGGCTTTCAGATATTAATAATACCATTTTGATCTGGCAATCATGTTTTAGTAAAAGTATTTATGCTTGTAGTTTATTTATTTATGCTATCATACTCCTTGTCTTACATTGAGATGGTGTGGTTCGTGGTATCGAACAGAAAGGTCACCTATCAGTTCCTTGTAAGACTAAATCATTTGTTCACAGTCTAGATTGGCAGTGAGACCCCACTTGGAAAAAGACTGTAGTCTATTCTTGATTCAGTTGACCTTGACTGGAGAATTACACTAGTACTTATGTTAAGTATTGAACAGGACCACCGGAAGGATAAGATTATGAGATTCACTGATCGTTGTTGTAATCTATACCTTCAGCGATTGATGCGTTCTCTAAAGCTATAAGATAATATAAAATAGTCGTGTATATTCATTACTTGTTTATTTGATTTACCAAGGGTTAATCCTATTTTATTAGGATGACATACTCGGTACTTTGGTAAATAAGAGTGATTATATGAAGAGCTATTATAAATTATTTATGGTACCGTGTTCCAGTGCGCTGGATTGATGACGTCCCTGAAATGAGCTCAGGAAGGAATATTGTGTTAAACCCTGCAGGTGGATATTTATCCGACACAATGATTAAGGTTCTGAGTGGTACTAATTTCGGAAATGAATAAGAAGTCGATTAATTATCTTGTCAGTAATTTAAGTAATCCACGGATGTTATATCTTAAACATGGGGAGGTAAATCGGTCAATCAGATTAATATTTATTAATCAAGTGGAGGTTTAATTTAATTGATTAAATTGGAGCCAAATGTGGAGAGCAATAATAATATTCTAGTGGGATATGTTATTATTTAATTTTATTAGGAATTTAGGAATTAATTTTATTTCATATTTATTATTCCAAGACTTAGGGAATATTCCTTCTAGAATCTAACCTAGGGTTAGGAGACTAGAGAGTCTTCTAGAAGGTGATGTTAGGAGAAATGAATCATGACCTAATATGAATTAGCTTATGGAGTAGAATTAGGATTCCTTGACCTAATGGGATAAGCCCATATTTGGCACCTCCTTAAGGTCCCTAATGGAGCCTATAAATACACCATGTCCCAACCTCTTAAGACACACATGTGAGACTCGTTTTTTCCATCTTTCAAAGAGAGAAAATTTGTCTTGTTCGAGAGTTAGGGAGATTCAATTAATCGCACCACCATGATTAATTGAAATAGGTGTTTAGGTAATTCATTAGAAGGCTTTAAGGTGAGATTTCTTTAAACCACAAACCTTCATATTTTTCGGTCATCTTCCCCAGCTAGTTGCCGCCGTCCGCCGCCGTCGACCACCGCCGGAAAACCACTCCTCGTTCGACTAGGACTCCTCGCTCAACCAGGACTCCTCGCTCGACTAGGGCTCCTCGCTCAACAAGAACTCCTCGCTCGACTAGGACTCCTCACTCAACCAGGACTCCTCGATCGACCAGGACTCCTCGCGCCCTAGGAAACGTGCCGCATGACAAAGACCCTGCTCGCCTAGTCCTCACAGGAATAGAAAAGCCGCAGCGCGCGACCCGCACGCATCCGCTATTCCTCGCCTGATCAGGACTCCTCACGCGTATAGGAGACGTCCCGAGCACGTACCCGCGTGAGCCCAGACGCCGCATGCCTAGTCCTTTCAGGCATAGGAAAGTTGACACACACGCGCATCTGTCCACAACCCGAACCGCTGCAACCCGACCCGACCTGAGACGTGATCCGTTCGTGATTCAACACTCGACTAGAGTCGACAAAGGCCAAACTCTTCAACCGATTGAGTTGTGGTAATCAGACGATCTCCATCAAAGGAAATCAGAAACGTCTCTGAGTCGGCAGAAATTTTAAAAGGTAATGTCCTAATCCTAACTATAGATTCCGCTGCGTTAGGATTTATTTCAATAAGTTCAATACTGTGCATGTTGTTGACGTTCCTCACAGAACCCAACAGTCATGGCACTTCAGGTAAATGTAATTTTTTTTATTATTTCATATTATTGTAATTATGTGGTTTCGTTATTAACTTTGTTTGTTTTATATCTTCCACACAGATTTGGGCTTGTGAATTATTTCCTGAAATTTTAAAGGATTCTGGAATGTCACGGAGGGATGACAACCTTCCTAGGGGCGCCCGATGGACATGTGCAAAGGTGTCATTCAAAAGTGCCAATGAACTTGATAATGCTGAGGTAATTCTTTGTTTCATTAAAAATAAATTTCTTATGAAGTGCATGTTTATTTTGGAACAATCGCTTCTAGCTAGATTTGTAGATTGATTATTTGTTATATTTTTTGGTGCTAGATTACATATTCACCTTTTTTGTTAACGGCCGAGGAGAGGAACGCGTCTTACATGACGGGCATCGACAGAGATTTATCATCGAATGTTCAATACATTCACCGTGATCAGTGGGTGAGCAACTGTCAACCATTGTCGGCCACAAAGCATGGACGGGGGTTAAAGACAATGCGACTCTCAAAGAAGGCTCATTCTGCAAACAATCCGGATATTTCTGAAGAAGATGAACATATTCCGCCAGCAAAAAGAAGAGCGCATGTTGTACCGGAAAGACCACATTCAGTTGCATTTGAAAGAGCAACTGGATCATGTACCAGAGTTGACGAGACGAAGATTGAAGATGTTGTATCCAAAAAAATTGAAGAGGCTTTTGCTAGGATGTTCCCTAGGTTTGTTGACGCGGCAGTTACCGAGGTGATTAAACGATTGGATGATTATCTAATCGTTCGAAGTACGGCCCGTCCCGGATCTGAGGATTTGGAGACCGTGAAGGATGATTTGGGGCAGGATGATTTGGGGAAGGGAGAAGAATGGAGGCAAGATAGAGACGATTAGAACAAAAAATCTGATTTTGTAAGTTTGTATTATCTGCAACGTTCCCTTATTTTTTTATACAAAAAAAAATAAATAAATTTGTTTACATCCTTAAAACATGTTGCTTTTTTTAGTTTGTGATATTTTTTATTGTCTAAAAATTTTATAAAACTATCGGTTGTAATCTTTAATTCTTTCAAACATTTGAACACAGGTAGTTGAGTCCGGTGATCGTGGTGTTCCACGTGAGGATGTTGAGGATGTTGTGGATGAGAATGAGGGTATTGCATAGAAGTAAAAGCAACATCCTAAAAGGCCAAGTCATTATGCACCAGGAGCATCAGCCTGATCTTGGTGCGACCGAATGGCTTGGAGGCTAATATTCAGATTGTCGAACCGGGCGTTGATTTCTCTCATGTATCTATCGTAGCGGACCTCAAATGTTGACCACCACGGCGACGGTTGCGTCCACCACGCCGGCGGTTCAGACGACCATGCCAGAGGCTGTTGTGGCTGCGGCGGTGGCACTTCGGGCTCTTCAATAATCATGTGCTCTTGCGTCTGCATCTCCTCCTCCGCCTCGTGTGTGTCCTCCTCTTCTTCAGCCTGATCGGTCGCCGTCCCCCCCTTCAATTTGTCCATGTAAGATCTAAAAGCCGGGTGCAATGTGTGATCTCGAAAGGTGTGACGATCCATAAGGAAACCAGCATGATGGAGCTCGTAGTAATCGATACGAGTCATCTTAATTGGAGCACTGCCCGACGCCTGTGGGTCTACTTTGAAATGTTTGGCCAGAGCCGCGACAATATGCCCCATGCATGGATACGCAGTTTTGCGTTGGATAATGTCCAGAAAGCTGTGACGTAGGGCTTTGAACATTGTCGGTCGCTTTCCTCTGAGCATGCACCAAAGTAGAAGAAGTTGCCAACGACTGACCTTGCTCGCTTCTTTTTTTCCGAAGATGTTGTAGCACAAAAATTTATGAATCACAACAATTGCACCATCTTTAATCAACCCATTTGGCAGACCAGAGGAATTCCGAACGGTGCCCGGTGCGATCTCGGGCCAGAATTTATCGGGAGAAAACTCGTTGGTGTCCCATTGCTCTCCCCACCTGAAATCTTTTATACCAAAAACGCTCTCAATAGTATTCCAGGAAAAGACACAATTATTTTCGAGCAGACGGCATTCCATATACTCGTCTCCGGTTCCTTCTTTTTTTAAGGTGAGTGTGCTGAAAAATTCTAGAGTAAGGTTGTCGTACGCGGGCTCATCCATATTGGCGTATTTTGTCAATCTGAGCTTCTCTAGGTACCCTCCACTAGAATACCAAGATCCTCCAGTAACTTGAAGTCAAACGTCTTCGGTCTGATTATCTTCTTTTGCGAGAGGCAATGGTAGGTCTCCCCTTTTATGCCTGAAAATATAGCAAAAGGGACATTATAAACCGCCCGGAGATCCGTCGGTTCCTGGACAGCTTGAGACGAGGATTCACCTTTCTTCCGCTTGCCAGTCGCAGAAGTTCCCGCGTTCGCAGCATTTCCTTTTGTCCGAGTTGAACGTTTTGGTCCCATTTTGGAGTTGGAACTAGTTTAGGAAATTCGTCAAACACCTTGCGGGCGGAATCCTGGGAACAGATAATGGTCGAAGAATTGAAACTACAAAATCAATGTTTTCAACTCACATTCTAAGCCCAAGAGCATAGCACATAATGGTTCAACACAACTACAACAACCAAGACCAAATCAAGCTTCAAAATTTCAACAAACTTAATAAATCTAGCATGCCTTAACCCTTCATAAACTGAAACTAAAGCTCAATAACATCACAAGATGTCGGCCAAAATTATGCATAAAAGGCAGTCATAAAAGGAAGGCTAATCGTAAAAGGTCGGATAAGGGCGGATGATGAGGACGGCCGCCGTAAAAGGAAGACTATTGGGCTCCGAGAACGGTTCGTCCGACAGAACTCGGGTCGCTGAAAACAGGACGTGGCTCGGTTGGGTTCGTCGTCACGGCTGGCTGGAGGTCAAAGCTCGGAGATTGCGGGTTGTCGTCGGAAGTTGAGGGTCGCAATCGCCGGTGAAAAGTGAGCCATCGGGAGAAAATCAGCGTGAAAGTGAAAGTGAAGTGTGGAATCGATTTCTGCCCTAATCGCGTAATTAAACCCGCAACCTTGACCGCGCCTCGCGAGCCTTGAGGTGCATAATGCCTTAAACACTCTGTCCTTTACCGCGAGTCGCCCGCGAGTCGCGACATCTTCACCGCGAGTCGCGAGTTTATCCGCGATTCGCTTGATAAACACTATTTTTTTTATTATTACAAGTACATGGCGTAACGATAGCGCATTTTCCCGGCACAACACACACACAACTGGATATTTTAGTGACTTTAGGCAGTATGAAGTTCACTCACAATCAATAACCATTTTAGTAGAGCGTTATAAAAATTAAAAAAAAAAAATAAAAATTACATTACAAAACGATGATTACATTAACACAATAGAAATACACAGAACAATTTCTCCCACAGAGTCAATAACCACACACAAATCATTCATACAAATAACATCCCAATTATGTTTGAAACCAAAAAAAAAGTTCATTAACGACGATTACATTTGCACTTGTGTGCAAATTCGTCTAGTATGGCCTGGTTGTCTACATATTGCATACCTACGAACTTTTTTTCCTGACGATGAAGCGATAGTCGAGGGATCAACTTGAGGGAAAACATGACAACAAGTCGTGGAGTAATGCCCACGTTCATTACAACGTGTACAGAATGATGATTTCCCAGAACTTGAAGCAGGCCCAGTGGATGGTATACGGATCATCCTTGGTCGTCCGGCTTGTTTTGGACTATTCGGTGATTTCACAACCAATGCCCTAACCTCTTCCGGTAGAATCCACTCGCTTAGATGAGCAATGGGCATGATTATCGGCTCGTAAAGTCTGCGCAAGATTGTTGTCTTGTAGTAGTCATGTACATAGACGTATACCGACTCATTTGCAGTCCTAATAATAACCGATTAATCTTGGGACACAAAATATTAATTTAAAGGTAAATGAGTATTATAAAAAAAATAAAATAAACCATTACCTTATTGCCTTTATTGCATGTGGACATGGCAATAACTCAAATTGGAAGCTAAGGCAAGTGCACGTCCGATCATTTAGATTGACAACATAATTATGTAACCCGTCTTTGATTTGGTACACATGGTGACTTATAGGGGAAGATACGAACTTCTGAGCTTGTTCTTTATATTCCACCAATTTCTTTGATATTTGAAGAGGAACTTCATCATCAATTTTCTTCGCCTCAATCCGCCTCTCGTGAAACCATTGTTCCAAAATGTGTCTAATGCATTCAAACAAAGCACAAATTGGCAATCTTCGAGCCCAACGTACCCTATTGTTGAATACCTCACATGCATTCGAGGTCATAAAACTGTACCGCCTAACAGGACATTGGCTACGTGCCCATCTACGAGGCAATGCATTCATTAACTTAGTCCATGCTTTGTCATGATCCTTCTTGAGCAACGCCATTGATCTGTCGTGAACGATAGGGGAATAGCTATACGAAGCTTTCATGTATAAATGAACTACTTCACGACCAAACTTTCGAATATTTTGGCGTAAGTGGTACGTGCAAATAACATGAGTTGCTTCGGGGTACGCAACCTCCAACTCGACATTTCCTGAAGCTCGTCTTGATCAGAAACAATGACCAAGTTTTCGGGACATCCGAATACATTACGAAGCGCATGTAGAAACCACGCCCAAGCATTGTGCTCTTCCACGTCACCTATACCAAAAGCCAATGGAAATATCTGCTCATTTCCATCTTTTGTTGTTGCTACGAACAGAATGCCTTTATATTGACCCTTCAAATGAGTACCATCAACCACAATCACAGGGCGACAATAATTAATGAATCCGTAGAGGCATGTAAGGAAAAGAATGCGTACTTGAACACATCATCGTCATTTGTCTCATAGCATGTGGTGGTTCTAGGATTTTCTCTCATCAACATATGAAAATATCCAGGAAAAAGTTCCCAAGATTTATTATGATCTCCATAAACGAAGTCATACGCGACATTATGAGACTTTAGTGCTTTATTGTATTTGAGCGTAATACCATGCTCACTCTCTAGGTCCATCATTATATCTCTCGGCTTTAACACCTGCCCTTCTGCCAATAACTTTGGCGCATATAAAGCTCCAATGATCTTGGAAGGCAACTGTCTAGGGGCTGAGCGACTGAGGTCGAGCATACATGTATGATGGTTGAATTTACATATTTTTCAATTACCACCAACCATTGCATTAGCACGAAGTAAAAATAGGCAGTCTTTATGCTTGCAGACGGATTCAAATCGAGATTGTGATGACCTTCGTGTTCGAGGCTCCACTTTGTGTTGCAAGTGGTAGAATTCCAACCTCATTATCAGTTCTTCCTTTGTACCAATTATCATCCCACTAAATAATTCGATTCCGAGTCTAACATAGGAGGAGGAGGCTCTTGGACCCGAGTTTGCACATGCGGAAAATGATAAGTTACTCCAGGAACCATCCAACCGTTGCTCGAATCTTCTTTTTGTTCCAAAATACTCGATTTAAGTGTTGGCACATTATGAATATCAACACTCTTCCTCCGAGCGATGTCCTCATTTTCATTATCTTGCTCGAGTTGCTCATTCTCGTCATCATTTTCGCTATCATTCTCGTGGACGATCGCTTCTCTATTGAAATCATCATAATCTCGACCATAATTTCTGGGGTACATCATTGGCTAGAAATCAATTTCTGGGTACATAAATCAATTTCTAGTCCCAGAAATTGATTTCAAGACCCAAAAAATTGGTTTCTGACACCATAAATACCAGAAATCGATTTGTTGGCACAAAAATCGGTTTTCTGGGTCCAAAAATCGATTTGTTTGCCCAGAAAGCAAAGAAATCGATTTCTTGGTCATTCTGGAGACAGAAATAAATTTCTGGGTCCAGAAATCGATTTCTTGGTCATTTCTGGAGACAGAATAGCTTTCTGGGACCAGAAACCAAAAATCACAGAAATCAATTTCTGGTCCACGAAATCGATTGCTGGGACCATAAATCCCAGAAATCGCTTTCGGTGACCAGAAATCAATTTCTTGACACGATTTCTTGGTCACAGAAATCGATTTCTGGGACCAGAAACCACAAATTGCAGAAATCAATTTCTTGCACCAGAAATAGATTTCTCTGACCGGAAATTTATTTCTGGGACCAGAAATCCCAGAAATCGATTTCTGGTCACAGAATTCGATTTCTGTGAACAGAAATCAATTTCATGGTCACAGAAATCGATTTCTGGGACCAGAAACCACAAATCGCAGAAATCAATTTTTTGCACCAGAAGTAGATTTCTGTGACCAGAAATCCATTTCTGGGACCAGAAATTCCAGAAATCGATTTATGGGACCAGAAACCACAAATTGCAGAAATCAATTTCTTGCACCAGAAATCAATTTCTGTGACCAGAAATTCATTTCTGGAACCAGAAATGCCAGAAATCAATTTCTGTGACCAGAAATGCATTTCTGGGACCAGAAATTCCAGAAATCGATTTCTGCGATTCTGAATGATTTCTGGACCAGAAATCATTCAAATGTTCAAGAAATTATTCATGCCCACAGAAATCATTTTTCTTTTACAAATATTCATGTTATTAATTTGATACTATATATGTGAGCCATTAATAAAAAAGAGAAATTATAGACATACCTTTACACTATTATTTCCGATTTATCACTGTAATGTTGCCGGAATTTTTGTAATATGGAGGGAGAATGATTTTTTTTTTTATGATTATTTTTTTTATGAGAATGTTTTTTTTTTAGATGAGAGATAAAATTCAAAATGTAGGAGTGAATGTCATAGGAAGAAAACACGGATGAGAAAAATGATGAAGTTGTGCATTTTTGTCATTTAGATTAACAATTTTTTATTTCCTTTAAAAAAATAGATAGTAAGGTTAAATTTGTCATTTTAAGTGCCAAAATGGCTAAAAAAGATGTTTTTACCAAACTATGGCTAAAATTTGTGTTTCACAATTGAAAATGGCCAAAAAAAAAATTCACTGTTTTATATATGGAGGTTATATTTATTCTCCATTTTTTACTTTATAAAAATATTTATTGTTCCGTACAAAAACACATCAATTGTGTGTATTTTATCATACACCAAATATTCTCCAAGACCTGGTTTTTTCTTTTCAAAGATTATGACTAAAAAGTTTGAGTATTTTTCAACGCAAGATCTGTTTTTTTATAATAATATTTTTTTTATATACTTTGTGATTCATATTATTATTTATTAAGTATATAATTATATACTTTTTCTTGTCAAATAATGTGAATATTAGGCTCTGCGCCAGGTCGGCATTTAGGAAGTTAGGTGTGTAGGCTAGACCTGCTATGCATAGAAAATTTTGAAATAATTGTCTCTCTGAATAACACAGTATATTCATATTTTGAAAATTAATGTTATACTTAAAATTTGCGTATTACAATGATACAATATTCCACCATTTTCTATGTAAATTGGAATAAGACCATCTCTAGCCCTTATCTCTACTCTAGCGCGAACTTTATTCTACTAGTGTGTATCCCTTGCGATGCACGGAAACAATATTATAAATAGACCTCGAGTTTGAGTCACTCAATGGTGGAAGTGGAAATTACTATTGATCTTATTTAAAAAGAAGAAGAAAAAAAATAATTATAAATTAAAGAGGAGGATAGACAATACTTAATAATTATAAATAAAGATTCGGGATCAAACAATGTAAAATTATTTTGTATAAGAGAACATAAAAAAAATTGATTACAATTATTATTATACTTTTTTGTATGGTTAGCTTATAATATTTGTAAAAATATTAGTAATTAGACCGATGAAAATTAGCTTCTTAAAGTAGATAATGGATTTCTAGTCGTAATTATGAATTGGTTTCTATTTTATTTTATTTTTTCTTTTTAAAGATAATGGATTTCTAGTAGTAATTATGAATTGGTTTTTATTTTATTTTCTTTTTTCAAATTTGTATAGATAAGGATAAGATATTTTAAACACGTATGCAATGGGATTTGTACAGAAGAGATAAACTCGTGTAGATTTATACTAAAAATAGGAAAAAAGAAAAACAAATATTTATTGTCAAATAACGGTTTTGATAAACTAAAAAACAGGAAAAAGAGAAACAAATCTTTACCCAATTAATGAGCCGATTTTTTTGCCTATTCAGATTTGTCCAACAATTACTATATGCAAGATATATTTAATGATTTTGGCGGGAAAAAATTTCCAAATTTGTAAAAAGATTATTCTTTTTATATAATGATAGATTCTAGAGTAGAGTTAAACATTCACCTTCAACCCTTATCTCTACATTTTACTATACATCAAATATATTATTTTGTTATTCAATTTTATTTCAAATAAATTAGTATATATATGTATATTTAATGTTATATAACTATTTATTACCCAATTAATAAAAATATATTTTATTTATGATTTACGTTTGTTGTAAACTTTTAATTTAATGAAATATACTTGTTGGAATGTGTTAATTTATATTCACACGGTACCATTTTAATATTTAAAAAATGCAAAATAAAATTATAATACATCAATAAATAAAAAGTACAAAATTATTTAGTATAAAAATACATTGCACAAAGTTATTTAGCATAAATATAAATTTACTAATACACATTGTACAAAAACTTATTATCAATATTACATTAAAATACATAAAAATACAAAAAAAAAAATGATAAAATATAGCGCAGGTGTTACAGTGTTGCGCCACATGTGGCGCAACACTATTCATTCCTCCCATCTAGCGCAGATATCTGCGCATCGTTGGAGGGCAGCTCTGCGCTATTTTAGCGCAAAGATACATATGTAGCGTTGCACTGCGGATGGTCGCATGTGGCGCAACACTATTCATTCCTCCCATCTAGCGCAAATATCTGCGCACCGTTGGAGGGCAGCTCTGCGCTATTTTAGCGCAAAGATACATATGTAGCGTTGCACTACGGATGGTCTAATATGTTTCATTTGTCACTAACTTCATACTCCATTTTTCATTGTCAAACTTATTTCAGTAATAATGACATATATTAATTATAGTTTAGGCGGTAAAAAACTTTTTTTCTTTCAGCTACTTCGCTTATATATATATAGTTAACCTCACTTTCGATTTTGTGTGTTTGAGTCCAATGTTGTGAGAGATGGTCGTAGTATTGTTTTGCGTAGACTGTTAAGTGAAGTGACACAAGTTTGATCTCAATGGTTGTCAGAGCATTGTTAAGAGAAGCCGTATTGAGTGAGCATATTTGATGACCACTTATTTTATATCCATAATATTATTCATATTGAGTGAGCACATATGATGACCACTAACTTCATGCGCATCTATAATTCTAAATTGTATTTAAAATCTCATTATTTTTCCTACTAATTTATGCATCATGATGCAACTTTATATTTGTTTTACTCGTTGTTAGATTACATTTTGTAGGTGGTAATATATTTAGTTTTCTACGGTGATCTTAATTATTATTTATTTATTATAATATATTTTGACACACCGATTATAATTTTTTTTTACATTTATAGAAAGGCTAAACTTGGCTCGGCAAACAACACTAGCAATCTTAGATTATGTTAAATCGTGACCCACTCATTGTATCACGGAAATAAACAAAAAAAAAATAAATAAATAAATAAAAGTCACAAACTTGAGCAACCCAAGTGACATTGTGACCTCGGGTCGCCACAGGTTTTTATGTAGGAATGAGACACTTGACCCATTCTTATTGAACAATTGTATTTTTTTTGTTTCTAAAAAAAAAAATACTAAACTTTGTATTTTTTTATTCTCTACAAATAGAGACCACACTTGATATGTTTTAGAACATAATTGCAATTTTTTAATAAATTAAAATAAAAAAAATATTTAAGTTGAGTTGAGTTGGGGATAGTGATAAATTGGGTTGAAAGATTGAGGTGGAAGAGAGAGAAATAATTTTTAATTTTAAAGTTGGGTTGAGTTGTGTTGGAAATAAGACTACATTTATTGGTGACCCCAAGGAGTGGGTCACCGATTAAAAACAAAAAAAAAAAAAGAAAAAGAAAAGTAGTAGGTTGTGCAACCGAGATCACCAGAAATTCTATGGCGCCCATATGGGCACCATATGGTGCCATAATCTTCACGATCTAACGCCTAATATTCCACAATGAATATTAGGCGTTAGATCGTGAAGATTATGGCACCATATGGTGCCCATATGGGCGCCATAGAATTTCTGCCGAGATCACAATGTGATCCAAGGTTGCAACCGATTGCTTTTTAAAAGTGGACACTTGTTCCTTTCTTATTGGTTAAATATATTTTTTTTTTGTTTTAAGAAAATAAAAAATAAATACTAAAATTCATATTTTTTTGTTATCTACAAATAGAGACCACACTTGATATATTTTGAAACACAATTGTATTTTTTAGATAAATTAAAATAAAATAAATATTTAGGTTGAGTTGAGTTGAAAATAAAGATAAATTTGTTTGTAAAGTTGAGTTGTGTAAGTAGAGGGGAGAGAAACAATTTTTAATATTGTGTTGGGTTGGGTTGGGTTGGGATAAAGATCAATGGGGGGAATGTGGTCTCACTTTTGCTGTTCAAATAAATAGAATAGGGAGTTAGGTCAAGAGTTCATTTCCGCATCCTCTCTGCTCTCCCAAATCGAAAAACCTAGTTGATGGCTTATTCTTCCCTGGTGCGCCGCGGCCGAGGTTTTGCTGGATTTTCTAGTTATTTGATTTCTGGAAAATGGAGTCGCGACTGTAATTGGTTTTGTCGGAGAGGCATGAGCACGGCGGCGCTGATGTCGCCGGAAAAAAGCAATCCATCTTCTTCTTCTCGTTCTTCTCCTTGGCTGATGCTGCAACCCGCATATGAAGCCTGCGCCGTCTGCAGTGCCGCCACGATGAATTACAAGTTCTACAACTTAGCGGAGAACAGGGTCGTGACCTTGAGGGTCCCACAAATACCCTTCGGCCTTCTGAGTTTCCGGGGTTCCTCCAGCGGTGGCTGGCTATCCCTTGTGCAGCCCGAAACCCACGATCTGTTACTGTATAACCCAATATCCCGCCGCAGCATAAAGCTCCCACCTTCCTACGGCCCATCAGTTGATCTAAACAGAGCACCCGTTCTCCATAAGTCCTTCCTCTCTTGCTCTCCCGACACTGAAAATGGTGTGGCCGTGAGCCTTACCTACTGTGGAGATTCCATGGCTGTGTGCTGCCCCTTGTCCAGTGACAAGTGGAACTGCTTCCGCACCAATTCCGGCGGCAGCCATTATTTCCATTATTTAGATTGCGTCTACTCCACAAGCCAACAGACACTCTTTGCCCTCACAAGCACTTTCCAGTTGGAGGCTTGGGACCTGACGGCTGCATCCCCAGAATTGATACGAATTATGGGTGAGTTTAGTAATATCCTCAACCATGAAGAGAAGATGATGAAGAAGAAGAATAAGAAGTTGTTAGGGTCTAGAGATGACTTGACATGTTTGCATGGTTACCATCTGGTGGTTGCCGGAGAGGATCTCCTGGTGGTGACTCAGTACGTCATGCTATCGGTTGACTCGAATGGCTTGTATGTTGACTTCGAGGCAGAAGAATCAGATGAAGAATCAGATGAATCGGCTTTTGGCCATCCGACCGCGACTATTGATTTTGATGTTCATAGATATGATCCGGAGGATGGGGATCTTAAGTATGTGGAAGGTTCGTCTTTAGGTGGTTGGGCTCTTTTCGTTGGTCACTACAACCACTCTGTTGCGTTGCGTGCGCGTGACTTCCCAGAGCTGAAGCCCAACTCCATTTACTTCACGGATGCCTTAGCAGATTTTAGTGTTTGTGGTAAAGGTGGCCAGGACATTGGCATCTTCAGTTATGAGGACAAGACTGTGTCACCATGCTATTATCCATGCGACCCTGCCAACTTAAAATCGTTGGTCCCAACGCCCATGTGGTTTTTCCCAAGCAACTTCTGATTTTGGGATTTTGTGGATTCTTCATTTTGATTAGTAATTTTCATTTTGGACTTTGCTGTAGCATGTTTTGTTCTTTGAAAATTTATTTTGTGTGGGATGTCTGGAATAATTTTGACGCAAGCTTTGGGCACTTTAGCATTTTTCATCAGCAATCTTTCTTACCAACTTTTCAGTCTGATAGATAGAGATACTATTGCTATTTTTTTAACAAAATCTAAAGAGTATGGTGTGGAATACATAATTGCATCACAAAAAGTGAATGAGAAAATAGCAACATGTGTTATCATCAACTCAACTCTATGCTGGGATTTAGGGGTGAGCATGGGTCGGTACGGTTCGGAAATTGATAAATCTCCAGAACCGAACCGAAGTTCGGAGATCACTAAAATTCGATCTCCAGAACCGTACCAAAAAATCGGTTCGGTCCCGTTCGGAGATTTTTATTTTTCGGTTCGGTTCGGTTCGGTTTTCGGGACTATCAAAACGGTTCGGCTCGATTTGGTTCGGTTCGGATATTCGGAGATTTCTTATCATTTTTTAAATTTTTTTGAATGACCACCTAGTTATATTTTATTTTTTATATGTTTTTTTTAAATCCAACATTCATCAATACTTCATCATACTAATGATTTTATTTTTAAATCAACTTTAGAAGTAACCCTAAATTTTAGTTAAGACTAAATTCAACTAACATTGAAAATTTAAATTCAAATAAAATATAATACAGTTTTATATTAAAGTAATAATTATTTAACCTTCAATACCATGTTAGTTATAAGATAAACTAATGGTAAGTATCGATAACTTTAAGTAAAGCTTAATTTTTTTTTTTAAATCTTTAACCTTTCATTCCATTTTTTTTTTTTTAAACATGAGAAATTCAATTGTAGATCAAGTATTACTAAACATGAAATTTAAGTGAATCTTAGTTGTTATTACTATATTTTATTTGCATTTTAAAAATTCTCAAATTATATAGGATTAAAGTTGACATAAAATATATTAATAACACGCATCTATTTTTATAATTCGGTTCTTAATTTCGGTTCTTCGGTTCGGTACGGTATAGGACGGTTCAGTTCGGTTCTCGGTACCGATATTTATGAAATCTCCAGAACCGTACCAATTATTTTTTCGGTTTGGTTCGGTTCGGAGAAAGTCAAACGGTCAACGGATATTTTTCGGTTCGGAGTGATTTCGGTTCGGTTTTCGGTACGGTTCGGAATTCTCCGAGTCCCATGCTCAGCCCTACTGGGATTAGGGGACGACGAGAGTAGAAGCAATGACAGTATCACTTGTATGTTGTAGTTAGTGTGGATTCTGCTTCCACTGCTCAGCTAAAATGATGATAGTTCTAAAGCTAAATTACAGGGCATCTGTGATGCATAGATTCAAAATTTCTGCAACTTTACAACGAATGCTTTTCAAGTTTTAGCAGCTGGCCCATCGACTAGAAAACTGTGATTTTTAACTCTGTTTGCATCTGCCAATGTCTGAGAAGCTTTCTACTCCTGTAATAAGTCTCTCCCTTTAATCTGTTTCTGTTTTGTAGTATCCTGACAACGATTTTTGATAGAATTTTTTCATTTGTGGTCATGGTTTGTTTGGAATTAAGGTTCTTCAATCAGTCGTGCCCATAAAAGATGGAGAGGTGGTGCTCGGACAATATCAAGGCTGTAAGGATGATCCAGCAGTTGCAGACAACTCAAATACTCCACTTCATTGGCAACAGAAATTTTGCTCTTAGATGGGAAGGTAGATAACGCATTTCCGTTTTAGCTATTCCATCAATATATGTGAATGGATATTATTTCTATCTGGTTTTTTCATCTTGGGAGAAAAAGTCTTAAAGTCGCCTAAAGAAAGTAACCTTTACTGGTTACAGTCGCATTACCGAGATATTGTGTGTCCTATAATGACTTTTTGAATTACTGTAGGTGTGACTTTATACTGAAGGCAATGTATGAATAGCTTTAAATTCGAGAAAAAGCATAAATATGGTTCTTGTTATGAAATAATAAAATAATGTATGTGAATGACTATTTTGCCCTCGATGTATTTGTATTATTACAAATTGTGCCATCAGGAGTTTCCTATAAATAGGAGTTTCAGTTATAATGAAAAACACACCTAAGAGAATACATTTTCTCTATTCTCTCTCTTTCTCTCTAATTTTATAACACGTTATCAGCACGAGTCTTTGCCCTTTAGAGCTCGATTTGTAATATGACGAGAGTATGCTCTACGGTTGCATCTTTGAGATGAACCTCCGTATCAGAAATCCGATTATTACTTATTATTCTTCTCTTGAATCAACTCAATATGCCAGAATTATGAATTTTATCTTTACTTTATCATGATCATTTTTCATCACTTTCTTTCGGCTAAGCTTTCTTAAAGCAACCATCATGCTTAAGCACCATGAGGAGGAAGACTTCCACCATCTTAGCCTCCAGATTCAAACGCAAAAACAAAGAAAAAGCTCCAAATTCATGAAGCTGATCATGGTACAAATGATAAATATATACTTTACCCGAGAGGTATGTCAAAACTAATCCACCAGCATCGTGTATGTAATTTCTCATGATTTTGTTATCTCGCCTGTGATTTAACACTCTTTCCAATCACATAAAAGTAAAAAAATTCATGGCTAATGAGTAAGGAATAATATATGAACCATACATTATACTTTTATGGTGAGAAATGAAAATGAATAATGATCGAGCATAGCAAAATTTGATGTCCAGCCAAGAGAAATAATAAACTTTTTGAGAATAACAAAGTTGGAGCTTAGGGATAAAATAAGTAGCTTATAAATATTTGATAGGAGAGGAACACCGAAGACGAAAGGCATTTGATGGAAGAGAAATAAATGATCTTTTCATTTCGTGAGAAAATTGTAATGGTGATATATATATATATATAATATTGAATCATGTTTGTAAGAAAATGAGAAATAATTTAATGACCGCCCACTTATGTCACAACACCCACCAAGTTTGACAAGTTAACATTATATAAATGCCAAAACCATTTATGACCATGACCTTTGGGAGCCACTTTTCTCAAAGCATAAAGAAATGAAGATTAGATGTCGGTAGACACCATTCAAATGAACAAGTGTTAGGAATTAAAATACATTGAAATAAATGCATTCACTATTTGATTGTGACACTTAGAATAAATACATGAACCTATAATTCATTGTGTATGTAGGCAATGATATTTAATGTTTTATATTAACAATATATTTCAATGATTCATTAAACTTTAAAATCTAATTTTCTCAAAAACAAAAGGCATACATGATCAAAATTAGTGTTTTACAATATCATAATATTTCATTTAAATAGAGCTTCGATTTAAGACCAATATTGATATGGTTTATTATATTATATGATTAAGAAATGTTTGAGTTACTCTATTGTAAAAAATTATTTGGTACGTGGACATGTGAATATTTATGGATTGACCCATATGATATGAAAAGAAATATGTGTGGCTATACAAACTGGCCAGTGCGGCTCTATCGTCGGCATGTGATATTTAATGATAGTCGATGGGTCAACTGTTGAAATATGAAAAATCATGTGAAATGGCCGAATAGTGCATCCGTCGAAATAAGATTTGAACAACTAAGTGAACGGGTCAGTGTATTGAATAATGATGACCAGTGATGGCCATATGATAATGATAATCAGTGATATGAAATGGCCAGATGATAAAGCCATGTACAACAGATAGTACATATAAAAGGATATGAATGTCTATATACACATGGGCCGGCCAGTGTGGCTCTGCCGCCGGCGACGGGCATTACAAATTAAGTGATAGCCGATGAGTGAAATTAATGATACTTTATATTTGACCATGTGAAAGTTAATTAAAGTCCTTGTCGTGAACATACAATATATGGACTTACCTGGTCCTGAAGGAACAATTGATAAATTCTCTAAATTTATTGATGGAGAAACGAATATTGATGATTAAATGATATCTGGTATACTGGTACTTGAAGCTACCATCTTATGATTAAACAAAATGATACTAGTAGCTATCACTGGATGATTGAACAAATTGAAAAAAAAGTGGTATCAAAAGCTACCAGTTATGGGTGATCACACAAAATGATTTCTCAATATATTATATGAGTTTAAGAGGATATATCAGATGACAAGAACACATTGAGATACAGAATCATACAGATATTACAATAAAGTGCTCCGGAAGAAGCACAAATGATAATGATTGTAGTCATGAACTACTATACACTGAGAAAAATTGAAATTGATATTATTATTACTGAGAAACAAGTACAAAATGTTCAGATGGTGGAAATATGGAAAAGAGGCAGTAAATACTCGATGAATACAAAATATGCAAAGATTACATAATAGAACCCAAAAAAGAAGGGTGCGTCTCGAGAGTGTAAAACTCCGTAACTCTGCCACCCATGAATGATATCTGGGTTCATATTTGAATAATATCTGGGTTCATAATGAGAGATCTAAAGGATCAAAAGCTCTTTTTCGCTTGACCCCTTGTGTTTCCACAGAATCTTGAAATGTGATGCATTCTTGAAGCTTTTTGATAAGTTCAGCAGACGTGTCAGCAGATTTGAATACTTCTCTCATTGAAGGAGATATAAAGTTTTGATATACTCCTATGTCTAAAAATCCAAGCAAACCATGAAAGAAGTTATTAAAGTTCAATAGACCTATGGGCTTGTTATGAAGTTTCAATTCTGCCCATAAAGCAATGATGAACATTGTCATCAGCGTTCCATACCCGCCTGGAAGAATGATAAAAGCATCGCTATTGTTCACCATATCCATCATACAATCATGAATGGAATGAGTTAACATCATGCTTGTGGAATCCTTGACGACCTTTGTTGAAGCTCTACGAAAAGGTATGATACTTTTCACTTCTATCTCAAAACATTGTCCAGCCATTAAGAGACTATCATAGAAAGTATTGCTAGTCCCTCCATACAGCAA